GAGCATCTAACGCTGGATATTGGACCAGGATGTCGACGAACCGCAGGCGACCGGAACCTCTCAACCACACCAGCGGACTAACGACATCGGCTCGCCTCAGGATGATCTGACTGTACAGTTGCATCATTGTGGCAAGCAAAGTCACTGCCTAATGTCCGTAACACACAGAAACACTCAGGTCGCGCAATCGCAGAAGCCGGAGGATATCGATCATCGGAGCAGACCGTCGCGCGGCGAGCCGTTGATGAGGCCAAGAAAGAGGTCGCCACCATGCAATCTGATACACTGGTGGAACGAGGCGCGGCGGCAGTCGACGAACGGAAAGACCTGGCGCAAGGGCTGGCCTCGTCACCAAAGCAATGGGAACCGTTGTTCAGGCGTCTTAAGCAGTTCACAGAACTTGTCGACAAGATTGCCGAGGTGATCATTCGTGGTTCGGATTTTTCGTGATTCCGAACTCATGTTGGTCGCGGTGATAGATTCATCCCTATGCAAACATGGCGTGGAATGTTCTCTCAATCGTGCAGAAGGCAAGTCACGCATACTAGTCCGACGCGTGTCTCCTGACGAATCCCACCTTTAGACCATCATCGGGCAGGTCAAACTCGACCAATCCATCCGCGACCTCCTCGACACCCTCGAGAACGTATACGACTTCATGGATCAGGCTCAGCCTCTGGACACCGTCAAATCAGCGGCGAAGCTGCTCACGGCACTCGCTCAGCAGACGACCGAATGCGGCTGGTTCATACACGACTATGCAAAAAACAAGAACTTCTGTGAGTTTGGGAACGATTGCTCGTCCTCGACGTGACCGTGACGTTGATAACAGTACCGCGAACGGCGTCGAATGCTTGGAAGAAACTCGTCCATCCAGCCCAAGCGGCGCCAGCGATGGTGAAGGAATACCGAGCCAAGTTCGCAGAGCTCAAGTCGCAGCTCCTCGACGGATCCACGATACGAACAGCCATCGCCGTTGGGAACGTCGATCTCGTCGTTCACAGGGTCTTGGACGCCGTCGAAGAGATCGGTAAGGAACCCTTCTGCTTGTCCTTCGCCGCGTTGACCATCGATTATCATCAGCCGCGGACGTCAAGATGCAGCGGTTGGAAGAAGCCTGCGCCAGAGGTTCTCGGTTTAACAGCAATAAGAGATGCCTTCCAGAGACTCGTCGGACAATTCTCCAGATTATAGCCGACTGGATCAACGATCCGCTGGACACTCGTCGCGTGTTCCTGCTCTATGGGCCGGCGGGGTCGGGTAAGTCGGCGATCGCTCATACCATAGCAGCCACGTTCTACGATATGCTTCGCTTGGGATCCTCGTATTGCTTTGACAGGTCCAACATCGAGCTTACTCACGCTACTCCCGTTTTCCCTACTATCGCCCGCGACCTATCCGAGCGTGAGCCTCAGATCCGATTCCAACTTTCGCGTGCCATTGCCCAGGACTCCGCCCTCGCCACATCGAACGATCTTCGCACACAATTCCGGCGTTTCATCGTGGAGCCTGCATCGCAGCTCGCGATCTCTGGGCCGATCGTCATCGTCATCGACGCCCTTGACGAATGTGACTCAAACACACGAAGCACTCTGTTATCAATCTTGCAAAGTGCGGACGAAGGGGATGCGCTCCCCTCCAATTTTCGCGTCCTCGTCACTTGTAGGCCAGAGCCCGACATCATGGACGTCCGGGATCCGCGCCTTGTTCGCGCTCAATCAATGAACGACGTACTGGGGGCGACCGCCAACGAGGAAGACATACAGCTGTATGTTCGTGGGCAGCTTTCGTCCCTCTCGAGAGCGCATGATGTCGAGGCCATGTGTACCCAACTCGTACTCTCCGCCGAAGGACTCTTTCAGTGGGCTGCTACAGCGTGTCGTTTCGTGGTCGCGAAGACTCCGCCATTGACCATCAAACAAAGGATGGCACTTGTTCTACCATCCGATGGCAAACGCACCGCTAATGGCCAACTTGATACGCTGTACTTAGAAGTCCTTCGTATCACCTTCTCTTCCACGCACCCCGAGGTCATGGAGAATTTCCATCGTGTGATGAGTCTCCTCATGACGGCGATTGAACCGCTGTCCATCTCGGCATTGCAGGATATCGTTAGTGGACAGGCAGACCTTGATCCTGATATGCTGGAAGGGGTACTCGCGGGCATGGGATCGCTCCTATCTGGAACCGATCGCTTGGACGTCGTCGTGCGCCCTCTGCATACGTCGTTTCGAGACTTCATTCTAGATCCCAAACGCAGCCACGAATTCGTCGTCAAGCCAGGGAAGGAGGAGCATCTACAATTCGCGCGCGGAACCCTACGTCTTCTGTTGAGCGAGCAGTTGCACATCAACATGTGCGGACTCGAGACGTCATATCGTCTCAACACGTACTATCTCGATTTAGACGATCGTGTACGGAAAATGATCACGTCGAGCTTGGTTTATTCCACTCGCTACTGGGCTGATCATCTTGAGAAGACTCCATGCGGCTCTGGCCTGCTTCGAATGGCGGAACAACTGCTGAAAGTCAAGTTCCTGTTCTGGCTCGAGCTCCTCAGTCTTCTAGGGTCCGTTCCTACCTGCGCATCAGCGCTCCTGAAGCTCAAACAGTGGACACCTCGGGCAGGTCTTTTCATCGGTTACATCTGTCGCATGCGGCTCACATACGTGTTCTGCCCTTAGGACACTGCGGAAGGACTGGAAACAGTCTCAATTATTGAGGATTTCCTCAAGTTCATCCGGGCTTTCGGGGTAGTGATCGGGTTTTCTGCTCCTCACATTTATCTCTCAGCCGTACCTTTTGCACCGACGAGATCACAAGTGCGCCAGCTGTACGAATCGAAGCTTCCCAGAAGAGCTACGGTGGTGTGCGGTGGATTGTCAGAATGGCCCGCCTTAGAATGCACCATGGACTGCGATGGCGGCGTCCTCTGTGCGGAATTCTCCGACGATGGAAAACAAATCTTCTTTGTCTCGCGCGGATCGTTTTGCTGCACTATACATGTTCGGGATGCGGCGACCGGACAGCTGGTCCGTCGACCGGTGCGCTGTGGTACAGAGAGTAATGTCCAGTGCGTCGCCTTCTCTTCGGAGCGAGACCTCATAGTGGTGGGATTGCAGGACAGCACGATTCAGGTTTGGAATACCACCGCAGGACAGCATATTCGCACGCTCAGAGGGCATACGGATTATGTTCGAACGGTCGCTTTCTCTCCTGACGGCAAGCAGATTGTGTCGGGCTCGAAAGACAAGACGGTCTGTATCTGGGATGTGCAGTCTGAGAAGCTTGTCCATCCACCGCTCCAGGGACATACACACGGGGTCCTTTCCGTCGCTTTCTCGCCTGACTCCAACTGGGTGGTCTCAGGTTCAGCAGACGGAATGATTTGCTTATGGGATACCACAATGGGAACACTTGTGCACGAGCCATTGCGCGGCTATCCATCCTTTGAATCCCCTGTCGCATTCTCGCAGGATGGGAAATGGATTGTTTCGGGCAATGAGACCATGCAGCTGTGGGATGTCGAGTCTGGCCAGCCTATCGGGTCCCCTCTTTGGGGCTACACTAGCCATGTCACAGCGTTGGCGATCTCCCCGGACGGCAAGTTCGTTGTATCTGGTTCTTCAGATGGTGTCGTTCATCTATGGGAAACAACCGAACAGGCCCCTTGCACAACTTTCCATGGTCACTCCAACATGGTGATATCTGTAGCGTTCTCGGGAGATGGCCAGTACATCGTCTCTGGATCATGGGACGGGACTGTGCGCGTGTGGAACGCTTCAACCCGATGCACCGAGAAGGACATTGTCAGAAGACACGCTGGCCTGGGCTACAGTATGGCTGTTTCGCCGGATGGGGAGCGTATCGTCACTTGGCACAAGAAAGACATTTGTGTGTGGGACGTCTCGACGGGAATGCCTGTTCAAGGCCAACACTGGCCAGAACACACAGCCAACGTACTCTACATATTGTTCTTACCCGATGGACGCCGCATCTTGTCGTGGTCGGAGGATGGCACAGTTCGCGTGTGGGAAGTCTCCACCGGTCAATACATTCGCCATTTCACAGTTCCAACCTTGAGATCCCGTTGGTCAATCTCGGCGGCAGTCTCTCCGGACGGGCGATATATCACATTGTCATGCTCAGAAGAGATTATACACGTATGGGACATCTCCAACGGGGAGTGTTTGCAGGAACCTCTCGAGGGTCACACTGGTGATGTCACAGCCCTGGCATTCTCTCCAGATGGGAAGCGCATCGCATCGGGCGCACGAGACCACACAATACTCCTATGGGACGTCGAGACAGGTCAGACTGTATGCGCACCGTTGGAGGGGCATACCAATTGTGTAACCTGCGTTGCCTTTTTGCCCAATGGCGCTTCTCTCGTGTCCGGTGACATGGACGGCTTCGTGCGGATCTGGGACTCTGCCACGGGACAGACAATCTGCGGTCCTTGGCGTCGCCATGACCAGTGGGTTCACTCCGTCGCTTTCTCGCCAAACGGACGCTGCGTGGCCTCGGGCGGAATGGATCGTACAGTGCGCGTTTGGGACGCAGTCACTGGGAAGCCGATCCGCGAGTCCTTTCGGGGTCACACAAGTCTGGTCAACACAGTGGCATTCTCACCAGATGGCCAATGCATCATATCATGCAGCTGGGACGGCACGATCCGGTTCTGGGATGCCTCGACGGGGCATAGTGACAATGTCGAGGGACTACGGGGTGCGTCACCTCAATGTTTCACTTGATCTCACTCACACTGGCTGTCCGGCGTAGTAGATGATAGCGCTACCTCTAGCCAACCGCGTTCAGTATCATTCTCGCCAGACGAGGATCACGCTCTCGCCGACATTCAGCTCATAGTCCCTGGCGCTGAACAGATGTCACGGTTCCAAATCGACGATTCATTCACGCTGGAGGACTACGGCTGGCTCATGGGACCTGACGATCGACGCCTGATCTGGATACCGGTTCAAAATCGCAAGATGTTGTTCATGCCACAGAACAGGCGAACCATGATACCTTGGGATGGGGTGACTACGCTTGATCTGAGCAACTTTGCTCACGGCGAGAAGTGGGCCGAGTGCTACGAGGAGGGCTCCTCGTGAGTGAGCCGGTGCGTGGTTCGCTGGATATCGTGGAGTGGAGAGGTATCTTGTTGTTCAGCTTTCAGTGCCGCCGGGCATCTTCTCGAATATGATTGACGTGAATTGGCGACGCGTGGGGGTGTACAGACTTTGTGTTCAGCGCATATAGCTGGAGAGACAAGGCGATGACGACGGTGCTGGTCAATGAGATCCGATAATAAATACTTGTCGTATGATATGTTTGCTGATGTAGTCCTCGGGCTCAACGACGATCATGCATACTCCCATGTCACCCGCCTTACCCACCCGCCACCACTCGCATATACGCGCACGACTCGCGTCGACCCGTCCGATTGCGAGTCCGTTTCGACAAGTCGCCTCGCCTTAGGTTTGATTTCGTAGAAGGGTATCTGCGTCTGGAAAAGGTAAGGTATCGCCATGGATGAAAGCTTAGCCAGTGGCAGAACCGTACATGGCGTGGTTTGCCGGATCCGACTGCTTTCTGAATACTGCATTGGGAGTGGGGGCGGAGGCGATGGTGAGAGGAGATGATCGTCTGCATGAAACCGGTCCACCGGTGAGCGGATGATAGGATAGACCAGAGGAGCGGGTACGTACCGAAGCCGCGTGCGCGGCTGCTTCCATGATGAAGCGCTTGACAACGCCAATGGCGGGAGTCCATGTGCGCGCATATATGACGCCGCTGTCATCTAGAACGGCGAGCACGACCTAGATAACAACGCGCCGTGACTTTTCAAGAAATACATACTCACCGTCCGGATTATAATCCTCCCCGAGCATGTGCATACACCCTGTCCGCAGATTCCTCATCCAGTACGCCGTTCGATCTTCGACGTAAGAGATCGTCGCCCACCTGCATCGCGCTCGTCTGAATAGACCCCAGAGAGGGCTACGCACCTTGATTGGCAATCCCGGCAGCCACAACCCGTCAATGGTCTGAATGCGCAGGTAGAGGCCGCGGTTCCGGAGATTGTGAAGGTCGGCGATGGCGGAGAGTGAGCCAAGTTCGAGTCCCTGGTGCGTTGTATTCGCTCTGCGGATAGCGTTGAGAACCCGAATATGTAAGGCGCTTGAAAATGTAGACGTACCACGTATAAGCCCACCGCCGCGCATACTTTAGATAGTCATGGTGGGCGACATCGTAGATCCTCCGTTCGAATAGATCGACATCTGCCTGCGCATCCTAAGGGTGCATGCACTCGATGCAGCTCTCGTGTTGATCCCGAGCAAATTCAAGCTTGACGTCTTGGCCAGACTGGGTGTATACGCTTGGAGCTTCTTCGGCTTCGGAGAGCCGGTCGCTGGACGACGTCGCCGACGACGATATACTTTCCACGAGCGAGGAGGCGGGACGGTTGTGCCGTGGTGTTCGATGCGCAGAACAGTCTGAGGAGACAAAGGGTGTGAGCGAGAGGATAATGTGCAGGTACTGGCACGCGAAATGCAACACGCCGGAGAGGCCATCGAGGTGGATCATGGTATCGGCATGGGAGCAGAGGTGCGGTCCATGCAAGGGAATGAACAGACGAGGATGATCGTCGAGGATGATCCTGGGAGTATCGAAGTCTCATGAGCTTTACAATCCTGAGGTCGGCGGGTTCTCGAAGGCGTTTTGATATGGACATTCAACTGCCCCGACGTCGACGCAAGCTTGGTATTCTTCTGGACGGTATGATCTGCATGGTGGACATGAGGTGAGTAAGGGGAACTCGTGTACCAGCACATACTCAAGAGAACTCACGCTGAATGCAACCGCCGAATATCTGTTGCTCGGGCTCATCCATGTTTACATCCCGCCTGGCATGAGTCATCCTTCCGAGTCGCGTACATCTTGGTGTGCGCGACGGAGGCTGAGAGACGGCAAACGAACCGGTCGGCCCGGTGAGCATCGTACGGCGCAAAGTGGTCCTTGACGCGAAGAGCAGTCATGAATCCGCGCGTTCCCGGAAGTAGAGTATGAGCCTGCGAACGTGCATCAGCGTCTATCCATAGGCAGATACGGTAGAGTAAGGGCGACCGATGCAAACGACGGAGATACACCAAGAGGCCCTAGGCGACAGAGGCGTTCGAATCCTGGGTCTGCGTATTGATATATGTGCTCCTAGTCTCGAGCGCAGCATGAGAGACGCGTGATCCATCGAGGACCGGAGGAAGCGGGATGGAGACTCATGAGACGTTCCGCACTGCTGAGGCCGAGTGAACAAACGAACGTCGTCAACCAGCACATACCCAAACACTCACGCTGTTGACCACCGAACATCGACATCATCTCTAGTTTTGCTCATATTCATCCCCGTTCCCCTCCAGCGAGAGACAATTCCTTGATCTGACTCGCAATGCGGACATCTTGACGTGTGGAGCTGGCCGAGAGAGAGACTCCGATGTCGCGCGCGACCGCCGTCGCGATCGGCCGAAGCCGATCCAGCTTGTCCTTCTCCGTGCCTTGGTTCGTCGCCATCGTCGTGCCCGGGGGCTCTGAGATGTGCACCCGCATGGCAATATCATATCATGCGTCTCGTCTTGATCGTGTTCTCCGAGCCTGCTTCGTACAGCACGCAACTCGTTGTATCATCGTACCTGCCGCTACCGTCGGTCTACCTACCATCTGCCTCAAGTCAGCCTACTCCAAGACAACGGATTTGAGTCCATCCCCAGTATGCTCATTCGCGCGTCCATAGCTCGCGTGAAGCACGCCAAACCGAACGCGGGGTCTTTCGCCTCCCCGGCGCGGCTACATCAAGGCGGGGTTATTGAGGCTGACGAAGCATTCGTCCGCGCTGCAAGATGGAAAGGAGCGCGCAAGGCATGCCAGGATCTTTGAAACCCGACGTCTGGTATATGAGATACCGTGCGCGGTGCGCCCTCGCGCGTGGTGGGTAACTGCGTGCGTTCTCGTCTTTCCACCCAACTATCGTGTTTTCAGGCTGAATCGAACCTGGCTCTTCCGCCAGGTCGTCCGCGATAGTCCGCCTGGATGTGCATTACAACGTCAAGCTCGAGGACATGCGGACTCCGGCATGACGCACTGCATCGGCGAGGCAGGCGATGACGAAGAGAATGCGACGCTAAGCTCTCACCCAACAAACTGCAGTCGTGGCGCCGCCACCGTTACGCGTATCATGAAGGAAGTATCGCGCTGATTCGACTACCTCCCCTACCGTCATGCGGCCCACATCAGCAGCCCGCAATCCAAGGAGAAGCGACGGACGGGAACGTTCGTCCAATTCTATCCCGGTCGATAACGGCGCCACTCGATTCGGATCGAAGGGCACTCGAGATGTCACCCTCGTCCCCAAGGGCTCGCACCGACTACCTCTTCTCTTCTCCCCGCGTTCTGGGTCGACTACCGTCCATGGGCTTCTCCGAGTTGCAGTTGAAGACCATGATTCTGCCTGGTACGTATTTTCGTCCCAGTGGAGGCAAATCGTTGCACACATCTCAACCTGGCAGCCGCCTCAAAACAATTCGGGACCGGTGAACACGTCCGCGACACGCAGGACGTCGAGGCGGGCGCGATGGCGACTGGCAACGCTGCGGAGGTATCTGTGGAACGCTGCCACTGCCGAGAGCCTCAGTTTTCGCAGCTGAAGCTGAACGCATTTGCCCTGGGTCTCGTATCGGAGATGTTCGTCGGGAGCGCATTGTATGACTGCTGGGTGTCGTGTGCCTTGACGCACGGAGACGTGGGGATTCATACCTTGATACAAAGACTTGAAGATCGGTCTAGATCGCTCATGAGCAATGCATTATACTGACAGAGCGTGAAGTCGCGGACGACCAGAATTTTTTTGCTCGATAAGCTGCAGTGGGTGTATGAGATTTTACATCTCGAGATCGGAAGGAATCATGCTTGTCGCCCCGATGGGTACCAACTATTCCTTCTCATAACATGACTACGGTGCCAATTCCCGAGAGTCAAGAGACAGACCTAATGTCTGCTATCCAGTCCCTCGTCCCAGCATCGCCGTTGCCATGTAGGGGAACCGGCCAGGCGCAGTGCTGTACCGCACAATAACACACATCAATCGACCTTGATCGAATTTCACAGGATGGTGCACTCACATACGTAGGTGTCCTCCAGGTAGTAACGTACCCGAACGGGTGCACGGCCAAAGATCTTCGTCGATATGCCATTCACGAGCCCTAACGATCGCCCTGTATTCACATTGGCCAGGATGTGTTTGATCACCGCCGCTTCGCCCTCGTTTTCCCCAACTCGCGGATATATCTCCCCCAAATCGGCGAAGACCTCGACGGCCTCGACGTTCCGCCTCCCGCTCCGATCCCTGGCCTTCGCACATCATACAAAAACCCGGGTTTGAACCGCAGTCCCTTCGGGCTTTCCTGATGCACGCTATCCTGAAGCTCGCGATGTCATTCGCACCCGAGGAGCAGAGCACGCCGGTGCCGAGCAGTCCATACTTTCATCCTCGGCGCATCAGTGTTGCGAACACCCGCATGCGGTCGAGCGCTCGGATTCATCGCTGGAGCCCAAGACGATGACAGGTGATTTGATGACATCGCACAATTCGGGTCCTATTGAGGTAAGGATTGGTCGGCTAATGATTGGTCGGCGAAGAAAAAGAGGAGCACACGCGGCGAAGAAGGACCGGAACATACCCTTGAAAGGCGCCTGCGTCGTCGAGAGAGCCCTAGGTCGATCCTGCCCTACGTCGGGTCGGCGTCCCCCTCGCAGGTGCAAAGCGGTGCGTAAATGATGTCGAGCCATTGTTGAGGTGATGCGACTGTAGACACGACATCAGTCTGACGCAATTCACATGCGTGGATCAGACGATGCGGACCTTTGAGAAGAAGCGCCAGTTCGCAGTGGGATGGATTTACGCTGCCGTCAATCATAGACAAGAGCGATCATGGACCGGTGTGCGTTTGATGATGACGCACGCCGTCCGGAGAAGCGATCGAGGCTGATCGAAGGGGTGTGAAGGAACATTAACGCGGTGCTTCGAGATTTGCGATACCTGAAACGAGTGTATGCGCGTATCAGCGTCAATCGTGATCCATAGATGTATAGTAGAAGAGGGAGCAGGTTCACGCAGCAAGGATTCGTGAGCACCGGAGCGGGTGCAAGAGGATGATGAGAAGAGAAGATACGGACGCGCACGCACCTCAGTTAACCATACGGGAACCCGCAGAGCATTCATGAGCAAGCCGATACGATCTTCGTAGGGTTCGTCGAGGGCGTTGATGAGGAAGAGAGGCCGATGTAGAGCCAGCCCGGTGCGTTCTTCGTGAGGCCGCCTATGGAGGGTATGCCTATATGCGCGCGTCAGCATCCGTGGACTTGGGTGCGGGTACAAAGGGCGGAGAATGCAGGAAAACGTACCGGGAGTGGACGCGCCGCCGGCCGCATATACTCCCATTGGTCATGATGGACGGTGTAGCCAGCCCCCGCATACTCCGGTCTACAAATGACTGTCCGGTTCGAGAGCAGGCGTAGTCGTCGCAGCGTTCATACCCGTTCCCAAGACTATTCGCCTTCGGGCGAAGCATCTTCATGTCCAGAGGACGGGCCGCCATGCCGGTGGACTATGCTGAGGGAGGTATGGTATATGCGAATGATGGGGAGGTGAGATAGCGGCGGCGATGGTGGCATGACGCTAATGTTTGTATTCGAAGTGGTATGAGGAGGAGGCGCACGAGAGGGCGAGAAGGCGACGTGCACATGTTCACAGGCAGACTGTATCGCGTCCGGGCATGGCTTTCAGAGCGGAACTTGACTTCGGTGAAGGAGAGGATATGTAGATTGGAAGCGCATCGTTCCCAGGCAATAGGTGGATGGAGCTGCTAGTCAAGGACGGCCCTACGATGGCGGCGCGTGCGGGAGAAGGTCGACGCGTTCTTGGGCTCTGGAGGTGTCCAGGACCAAGCAGGATGGGTGCCTGATCAGTTTAACTTTGAAGCCAGGGCGAGCGGGATCAAGACTTCGATGCTCGACTGCGATGGTACACAACCAGGTGAGTGAACGAACGTCGTCATTCCGCGCAAAATCGAACACGCACACTACTGTTAACCATCGACCATACCTCGCGCCCGTACCTCGCGCCCGTCCTCGTTCCCATATCGCCCAGCGCGAGTCTTCAGTTAATTGGTGTACGTCCTGTGGTGCGACCGTGGCAGAGAGAGAAGAATCGCGCGCCACTTGACTCCCAGTCTTAACGCGAGGGTGGGCGAGAGGCAGTCTACGCTTACCGAGGGCCTTCCCCTCTCCAGGACTTCTGCCGATTGCTATGTCGATGGTCGAGGACGCCGTGTCCTTGCTGCGGCAAGCTCGAATGGACTGCAAATAATGAACGGAACGCGCAAGGATGTCAACAGACCGGCTGCGTACACGTCATTCCAACCCCAAGGGTCCTCCGTCATTGACCTTGTACTAGCCAACCACCTTGCCATCGACCGTATGGACATTCTCCGTGTATCCTCCACGGAAGTTCCGCTTCTGTCTGATCATGCACGCGTCACTATCCACTTGAGATGTACGCAAGCTCCGCCTCGCCGCCTCCTCAGAGATCCTGACGACGTACGGCATCCCGCACCACCTGTCCCGCAAGTTCCGGTGTCGTACCTCGACCAACTGCTGATCCAGACGCGTGACAGCGTACAGTCCGCTAGCCAGGCCACTGCGTCATTGTACGGGAGTCTGATTTACAACACACAGCCCGTCGCCGTCTACACAGACGGCTCATGCAAAGGAGTGACTGTTCGAAGGGCAGGGGCAGGGGTATACTGGGCAGACGGTGCAGCGATGAATATTGCAGCTCGTGTGCCCGGAAGACAGACCAATAACCGGGGAGAATTGTATGCCGTGAAGCTTGCGCTGCGCGCGTCCAATCCTCTACGGAACCTTGACATCTACTCCGACTCTGAGCTGGTGATACGTCTCTGTTGCTACTGGGCACCGGCTATCGCAGCGAGAGGTTGGGAGCGGAAGCTCCTACTGCACGAAGTGGTACACCTACTGAGGGCCCGTCTTGCTCGCACGCGGTTCATCTGGATTAAGGGTCACAGCGGAAATGTTGGCGGCGACGCTGCCGATAGGTTAGCAAAAGAGGGTGCAGACCTTCCGGACGTTGACCATGACTCCGTACCAAGCTGTGACGCGGGCAAAGCCGAATACGGCTAAGGTGCGTTCACACGATAAGGTTCTCGAGCGGCACAACAAGAGAGAGTTCACGTCTCGATTGAGCAACTCGAGGTAAGATACGAAACCAAAAGGTAAAGGTCCTCGCGACGAGGCTGCTTGTCTTTTATACCTCGTCGCGAGCCCTTGAGCATATGGAAGTGGAGCAAAAGGATCAAACAGTCAAAAGGCGCATCAGCGCCGGATGCTAGAAAAGGAAAGAAGTTCTCGGTCTCAGCCTTCGGCAGAACCGGCACGTAACATCCGCCCTCCCGAAGTGGAAACCGCTTCGCCCAACAAGGTAATCCTCCGCCTCGATCCCTCGACTACACTCCCCGGCGCGTATTCTTCTCTAATTCTCGCTCCCGACGGCGCTCTTGAGCGCGCATCTGTCCACGCAGCGCCTGCACTATAGCGAACTGAATGACATCTTCATCGACCCCTAATGCGCCGATTGACGCGCTCGACGATCCCGCAACCACGTGTGATCCCTGGCTCGACCCTGCGCGATCGTCGGTCGGCTGCTTCTTGATCTTCTTCGCCTGGGTCCCCTCGGGCTTCTCTTGCCCTCCCTTCGCCGACTTTGACTTAGCGGTACGCTTGGCGGCGAGCCCGTCTAAGATCTCTTGAACCTCTGGCCGGAAGAAGATCGATCGCATCGGCTCGCCCTCCACCTCGACCACACCCTTGTCATTAAATCCGGACAACGAGGCGACGCTGGGATCAACGAGCTTCCTGAGCGTTGAACGGAGGGAATAATACCTGATTGGGACCAGCTCATCAACCGAGGCAAGCCCACCACGGATGCGATCGTCGTAGCGGAGGTAACGCTCGACATCCTTCCAATGGTACACATCGAACGGGCACCCAATCATCGGGGCAGGTACGTGGTCCACGATGAACTCCTTGTGGGTGGTGTTGAACTCTACACCCTTGCAACAGGTGATAATCACCACGTCCTCGACATCCTGCGTCGTGCCAGGAAGCGGCATCAGGTCGGCATCGGCGGCGTTGGGGGCAGCTTCCTTTGGAGGTGATGCATTGGCGGCGGGGTCGGAGTCGACTGCGGTCGGCGGTTCTTTGCGCTTGACGGCACCCCGACGCTTCGTAGGCGGGTCAGCGGTCGAGCCAGATGAAGGGGGCATAAACGATGGTGAGTGACGATTGCGTTCACAATGGTGTAAAGTTACGGGATAGCTAACGGTGTCTGTATCACCTGTCCCGAGTTCGTTATATAGTCGACGTCCACATCTACCGCCGGTCTCATCGACACACAGGGTGATCCCGCCGGCGAAGATTTGCGGGTCATCTTCCTCGATGATTCCACTACCTTCCGGGAGTTCCGCGACACTGCTAACTCCTTGCTCATCCAGGTATAATTTCAAATGCTCCATACCGTCAATTTTGTCAAGGGGGAGCCAGGTGACGTCTCCAGCTTTCCACTTGATTTTGAACACGGATGACGTCCCTTGTCCCTTGTGAGCTAGAATGCGATCAACGGCCCATTTGGCCCCATCCTCCCCGAAATCAGCCACCTGCATCTCTGCCCGCCCCGGGAAGAGACGATCATCATTGGCGACGTGTACGCGAAGAAGTGATGCGTGGAATACAGGATGAACTCCTCTCTGCAATAGTCGGGCGGGCAGATCAACCCGGAACGAATTGTTCCGAAAGTCCTTAGAAATCAGGTATGGCCCAATGTATTTGGGAATGAGCTTTCGTGCGCGGCCCTTCGGGAAATTGATATTCTTCGTAGAGACGTAGACCATGTCCCCGACGACGAACGGAGCCGGCCGGCGTAGTCGGTTAGCGGCACGCGTCTGCTTCACGCGGGCCTCCAGGATAGCGTCATGCGCTGCCATGATCGCGGCGCGCATCCGTTGAGCGAACACGCGCACCCCGGGATATTCCAACTCGGCGGGTTGATCCCAAATCAAGGATCGAGGCATCCGTCCTGTATCCAGAAAGAATGGTGCGTAACCAGTGCTTTCCGACCTAGCCGAATTGATGGCGAATTCGATCCCTGGCAGCTTCGACACCCAGTCCTTCTGGTCCGGCCTCACGCATGCCCGGATCATCTGGGTTATCGTACGGTTTGCGCGTTCCGTTGACCCGTCACTCTCTGGGTGGTAAGCGCTCGACATACTGAGTTTCACCCCTAACATTTTATTGAGGTGCTGCCAGAACGTGCTTGTAAACAGGACGTCGCGGTCGCTCACAATCCTCTTCGGTAAGCCATGCAATCGGTAGATCTCAGCAAAAACTAACTCGGCGATATCTTTAGCCCTATAGTCTTGCCGGCTCGGAACGAGATGCACACGGCCCGTCAGGGGATCAATCA